AGGGGTGTGCCGAAATGGGTGTGGGGGAGGCAATTGGGTGCAGCCTCTGGGGCCTTCGATAGAGCTCCCTATGGGGCCACGAAGCGTGAGTGGTATGCCGAAATCACTGGTGGGGAAGGCATGCGGGCGCAGCCACTGGGGCCTTCGGTAGAGCTCCGTATGGGGCCACGAAACGTGTGAGGGGTGTGCCACAGTGAAGGGGGTGACGGGAGGAGGAAAGAGCGGGAGGACAGGGGCAGGAAAGAAGGAACGCGGGGACCGTCTCTTCAAAACGAGGACCCAACACCACAGGATGGTTGAGAAAACTGGAGGCCCCTGGATCTGAGGGGTGACGGGACGTACAGGAGGCAGCTGGATAGTACACAAACGCTGCGAGGTGCTCGATTCCATTCCGCTTGAGGTCGTCGTCATACTGATTTATGCATGCCTTGTCCAGGAAAAGAAGTTGCCCACGCCACGGCGATATCCTCCCAACTTCCTGCCAGCAGAGAAGAACAAACAAGAACACGCCAGAGCCAAATCCGCCGCCGTGCCTTTCGCACGTAGTGGAGCGCCGCAAGGCTAATATAGTTATGCATCAGAGATGCAATATGATTTCTGCCTGAAGACCCGACCCCCGTTTTGCCGACATTCCTGTTCCCTGATGAACGTTCCAAGGTGTACAGTGTGGGCGCGATCGCAAGAAACCTTCGCAAGAAACCCAACCCTGGAAACCCGCGCGCGAAGTGCACCTGAGGGAAAAAAACCCGAGCATCCTGAACGAATCAGCTTCTTTGACGGCCGCGGGAAGTCACCGCGCAGCGCGCGGAGCGAAGAAACCCAGGGTACCCTGACGAAAATCAAATGGTTTCTTGATGCGCGCCCCCACTGTACCAGAAGCCCCCTGGAGATCCCTCGAGGCCCCAAGGCCCGCTGGCATGGCAGGCCAGAGGCGACTAGATACCTGACACCAAGGGCTCCACCACTTGACATTCAGCAGGTAGTAGGACGGCAGGATGCCGTACACTATCAAGAGGGCAGTCACAACGACGACCACCGCTGTGCAGATGATAGCCGCCCTGAGGTTGAGATGGAGAGCCAGAATCAGAAATTTGTCTTTCCGTGGCATGGACCAGTTGTGAGAGATGAACACGTCTAAATGGTCGGCCTGTGCGGTCCAATCGTACCAATCAGAGGCACCCTGCTTCTGATCCAGGACCAACCCCCACTGCCTTAAGGTATGTGCCGAGAACGAACCGCGCAAGAGCTCTGGATCGTCGAAAGTAATATTATTGATGGCCACGTCCTTCCAAGAGAACCACGAAGCTTCGCGAGAAGCCCGACCGAAGACGCTCATGTAGGCCCGACTTGAGGTCGTAAACGATGTCGTGGTAGGAGTCGAATGGAGCGAAGATGATCTGGGTAGCGTGATCCTGCGCTGCCCAAGAGGAACCCGGGACGGGGCACACTGCTGACCATCGGCGCTACCCAAAGGGGATACAGGCTGCCCTTCGGCGTGGAAAACAGGTTCCTCAACGGTGTTGCCCTTTGGGGATCCCTCTTGGCACGAAGATGCATCATCATCTACATCAGAATCGGGAGCAGGCGGCGGCGCTAGGGTGGTGGCCACCGAGGTGGCGTCAGCCATGCCACCTCGAAGCCTGGAAAGACCTCATGGATCCCCAACGCCTGTCGCCTGAGCCAAACATAATCCCAACATGTTAGTGAAACAGATCGCAACACGTGATATCATGTTCAACCAGGTCGTGACGGGCTCTCGGCCCGAATGGAACACGACTATCGCACAAGCAAATTGATCATGAGTTTGCTACGGGCCGCGCACACTTTGGTGCGGTGGTGGTTCACGCGATTGTCAAGGAGTGTGACAAATGTCCGATCTAGATTGTGCGATCGTCGTTGTCCGACCGATGTTGTGGAATGTGTGTGCCGCAACATAACTATTCGGTAACGACAATCTAGATGGCACGACCTGGGCCTCGGGGTAAACACTACAGGTAAGCCTAGGAGTTGGGCCTAGAGGTAAGCCCAACAAGTAAGTAAGGCCTGGGCGTGCAACTGGGCGTAAGCCCTGGATGTAGGGTCTGGGCGTAGGCCCTGGGGGTCACGAAGGTAATCTTAGAGGTGAGCCTGAGGGGAAGCCTACGGTATGTCGAGAGAAACCCTGGGAGTAGGCCTAGCGTAGGCGTCGGACATAAACAACGCCTCGAGGTAGGCCTACCCTAGATCTAGACCAGAGCACTCGGGCTGGGCCTGAGGTAGGAACAGCGGTAGACCCCATTGGTAGGACCTGGTGATGAGACTAGGGGTATGCCCGAGTGGGAGGCGCGTGGCAGGCCTAGGGGTAGGCCCTAGGGAGGGCCCCAGGGGTATGCCTAGAGGCAGGCCCTAGGGGTAGGCCTGGGGGTAGGCTCTAGGGGTAGGCCTAGGGGTAGACCTAGGGGTAGGCCGCAGGGGTAGCCCTAGGGGTAGACTTTGGGGGTTGCCTAGGGGTAGGCCCTGCGGGTAGTCCGAGGGGTAGGCCCTAATGGTGGGCCTAGGGTAGGCCTATCCTCCAGGTTCTATAAGCCGAGGTCGGACGCACGCGCGCGCACGCGCAGGCTTCTCACATCGACGTGCACACTCACGGGCGTTCACCATGCCTGCTAGGTGGCGATATCCGAACCCTATCCCCACCAATCATCGTCTCTCCTGAATCGATGGGAGGCGGGGGTAAGGTTCGGATTTCGCCACGTGTTCGACGAATTCCCCGCCGCTCATCGAGTTGCCTGAATCATTGATCGGCGAGGATAGGGTTCGGCATTTGCCGCCGCATTGCGTCCTTGCATGTAAACATGCGAAATCGTGACACTCCAGAGGATCAACGCACATGCCCTGAACGCCGAATCACAATCTGAAATGCAGGAGCAGGACTTAGAAGGCAATGGGCGAGGGAGCCGCACGAGGAGAAGGAGTGGGAAGACGACAGCATGACAAGACTATCCCGTGTCGATGGGGTCGGCCCAGGACAAGGAGATCGGGGATGGCAGGCAACTGCCTGAGCAGAAGTAGTCGGGAGTCCGCGCCGATTTCTGGGAACGGCGCTGGACGCAAGGGCCGGCGCCAGAGGGTGGGGGGCAGCGCCAAACCCAAGAAATCCGAACGGACTCAGCACATGTAGATGTACACTGCAAGGATGCGCAGCAAGGATGTGAGCCCCTTGGACGCCCAAGGTGAAGCCTCTTGAGCAGCGCACGGCAGAACCTGAGGATGTGTACTGCTTGTTGCTCGGGAGATGGCCGCAACTCCCGCCGACGACACGCAATCATCGCCAAGACCACGGTTGAAGGAAACATGTTTGCATCACTTGGTCGCCAAGAGAAGCAAGCAAGGAAATCCTCCCCTTGTCCTCGACCCCAACATTGAAACTGAACGCGCGCAGTGGAGGGGCGCGTCATATTTTCTGTCGCCCTCTGGATGAGCGTGAAACCTTTCAAGACGAAAGTTGGGGCGAGGTGGGGAGGGGCGGCGGGATGCCTTCGAGGGGGTGCAAGAACTTGTCCTTCAACAGCAAGCGCAGGAGCGGGGGGGCATCGGGCGCGCCGAAGAGAGGCCAGGAAGACAGGGGGGGCGTATTTCATGGCCCGAGGCATGTCTGCCGACGAGCGGGGGCCACAGGACGTGTCCAAAGAAGGAGAAGAAGAATAATAATAATTTGAAGAAGAGAATAATAATAATATTAACAATAATAACAATAATAATACTATTACTAGTAGTAATAATAATACTAATAATAATAATAATGATACTACTAATAATAATAACAATAACAATAACAATAATGATAATAATGATAATAATGATAATATTAAAAAATAAGAATAAGGAGCGGTCATAGCATCTGGGATATCCCAGGCCACGGCAATGATCAAGGCACACGCTTGATTACTTTGGTTCAAGATCCATGGATCTGGCGCTGTGGGCGCCAAGTCCACCAACCGGGGAAAGTACCTCCCGCGATATGAAGCCAGCACTGCCAGGGCCTGAGCGTATCCATATCCATTGTCTGCCGAGGTTCCCGAAGATCGATTCCCCGAGCGGTGGTTCTGGATACGTCCCCGCTTCGTATACCATGATGTCCCCCCACATGGTGTCGGTGGCGAGCCCAGGGCGGGGAAGGAAGGGGGGGGCGGGCCTTCTCAGGAGGGAGAAGGCCTCCTGCCTTCTAAAAAGCGTTCTAAGCCTTCGCCGAATACGGCTTCTCCGCAGGGCTTCTGAGCAAGTCCACCGCCTCCTGGGAAGGCCTCCCCCCTCTCACCTCCCCCTCGGCGCGCCGCCGGGTGCTGTCTTCGGGCAATAGCTCGGACCTCCAGCTCGGGCAGTCCTGGGCACTCCCAGAAGGCCCTCGGCGAGGCGCAGCCGCTGGATTGCACCCTGAGGCTGCGAGCCCGCGGAGAACCGACGAAGATGCCCGAAGATCATCGAACCTCGAACCCGAAACTCCCAAGCTTCCCCCCACCCTGGGCGCGCGGTCGATAGCAGCCCTCGCCCCCACTTGGACGCCTCCGATCGGGAGCGTCCAAGAGGGGGGTTCGCAAATCATGGCCCGAGGCATGTGCGCAGCGCAGGGGTGGAGGGCCAGGGACGCACTGAAACGAGAATGAGGGCCATGAGATCTGGGGAGATATCATGCCCCCTGCCATGATCTCTTTTCTGTCGGCGATGACCCTGGTTGTACAAGTGGGGGAGGGGAAGTGACGGCCGACAACAGAACCTTTTCGCTCTGAGCAGCCCCACGTATGCCCTCTCGCACCAGCACTGCGTACCCCGTCAGACCTGCGCGACCGACACGGGCAGGCTATCTGTGGGGGGGGCAGGGGCGGGGAAGGGGGGGGGGGAAGGGGGCGGCAGAAGCGGGCCCGACAACCCGAGGCATCGCCGGACCCCCCAAAAAACAACGGCCGTTTCGCACCCCCCCGAGTCCTCACTCCCTCGCGGACGCCCCCGAGGCAGGGAGGGAGGGAGGGAGCAGGAGGAGGAGGGAGGGAGGGAGGGAGGGAGGGAGGGGGGAGGAGACACCTCGCTTGGACGCCTCCGAGGGCAGGCGGGAGGAGCACGACGCCGGGCCGCGAGCCCCTCAGTTCTCGTCCTCCGGCGGCGCCTCCTCCCGGGGTCTCGGCCCGCGGCCCGCGGCGGCCCCCCGGAGGGCCGGGGGGGGCACGGGCGGCGAGCACGCCTGGTTCCGCGCCCCCGCGGTCTGCGGGGGCGGCCAGGAGGGGGCGTCCAAGGTGACGACTTCCTACTCAATCGGTTCCACACGCGAAGCCGACACCACGCACATGACCCACAGGCGGGTGGGTCACCGAAAACGGTCTGGGAGTTCCAAACCCCAAAGGCTCCCCATCATCTCGCCAAAACTTCCACAAAAGGCTACGGTGGAAGTGTCCAAGAGCTTTCCGGAAGCCTTGCAAGGGCCTTCGAGGAAGCTGTTTCGCGAGCTTCTCAAGAGCCCCTCATTGGCTTTGAACCCTCCAAAGAGTCTCTCATTTGGACGCCCAGAATGGGTACGGAAAGAATGGGCACAATGCCCAACAACAAATGTTGTCCCAAACCAACAGCGGCCGCTGTTGGGCAGGCGGCCTTCTGTCTCGAATGGACACAAGCCACGGCGGCGTGGACAGCGACTCCTGTTCGAAGTGAACAGGAACTGCTGTTGAGCATTGTACCCATTCTTTCCGTGCCCATCTCGTTCGTGCAGAAAGGGGGGGGCGCAACTCATGGCCGGCGGCATGCGCGCGGCAAGAGGCGCCATGACATCTGGAGAGGTATCAAGGCCGACGCCGTGATATCCACCCCACCCCACAGTCATCACCCCCCTCTTGGCCGTCCCCGAGGTCTGGACTCTGGAGCGCGATCCCCAGGCATGCTCGCGTCGCAACAGGAAATCAGGACGGAGACTCGGCGTCGCTGTCGGCCTCTGGGGGTCCTCACTGGGCCCCGGGACTGTCAAACTACTCGGGATGGAAAACCAGGCCCCAGGGGAACAGGCCGGGACTTCTGAGAACCACGTGCTGACAGAAAGAAGACACCGAACATCTGGGTCCCGCGGATACGCGGTCGCACGGATATGTGGCGCGCGAGGCATCTGGGTGCAAACATACCCCGTGTCCGCGGGGTCGTGGCCCAGGGGGCGGGTCCATGTGCTACGCCCACGATCATAGGGGGGGCCCACGAACTACAAATCCGCCGACCCCCACTTGGGGGTGCAAAGGCGTGCGAGATGAGTTGCTGCCCCCCTCCCCCCCCTCACTGGGGACTGAATCTGATTGGAGCGGGGGGGGGCCAGGGGGCTTGGCTCCCCGAGCTCACCAACGCTCCCCCAGGACCTCCAGAGCCTCCATTTCTACACTCTGTGGCCTCCAAGATGCCTACGTCTGCTCAAGCAGGGTTCCAACACGCACAGGCGTCCCCGAAAACGACTGAGATGGCCACAAGACTGCGCAAGAGGCTTTGAATACACCCCAAGAGTGCTCCCAAGACGACACCCGACAGGGCCCGAAGAAGCAAGAACAGTCAAAGTCTCAGAGGAGAAGGTATAGTTTGAACATCTTTGCACGTTTGATCTGAATAGCGTCCAAGACGGCTCAAGAAGCCCCATGAACGCAGCAAGACGGCTTAAGATGCCCCCCAAGAGGATCTTAACACGGCCGATGAGGATCCCAAGACCCAAGAGTCGTCCAAGATGGCAGGAGAGAGCCCAACAGGGCCCTAAGAGGGGCAAAAGAAAGGCGACTCGAACTGACATTCCGAGCACTCCGCCTCAAGAGAACCCCCGAGACCGCCAGCTGGCGCCCAAGAAACTCCCAAGAGGTCCCCAAGGGGCCCAAAAGAGGCCCCCAGAGGGTCCGTAAGAGGTCCCAAGAGGCCACACCCGTTGACTTCATCCTGCTTCCGGAAGCGGTGGAATGGCGTCAGCCTCTTGAATCAAATCCAGCCCTCTGGCGTCAGCGCCGCCCTGATGCCAGACATCTGGCGGATTGACTTCCTCGATCGCAGCGTTTGTTCTTAGTTCGGAACAGCGACCAGAATGTCTTATCGCTGCAGCCTCTGGCTCTTCTGCAAAGTGCTTTGGAACATGGGCATGAGGAGGGATATGAGAACACTGGGTAAGACAACAGGAGTAGAGGGTAAGATTATCCGTCCGCTGGGCCTGGGTGGCCGCCACTTGAAGCGCGCCAGAGAGGACCACCAGGGGGTCGCCCAACCATCCACAACGGATCTGATATGAAAAACGGCCCTGAGGGCAACGGTCGGCAGCCCTCGGGCTGCGCATTGAAAGCATCACATCGTCGGATGTGTGGGATGGTGTGGGCCACTCTCGACGCCAAAACAAATCAAAACACGAAAAAGACAGAATGGTTTGTGACCTCCCCCGCGACGCCAAAGCAAATCAATGCGGGATGGTTTGGGCCACTCTTGGCGTCGCCCTGGGATCCAAGGCCGTCCCAGCACTTCTCGGGGTGAAGAGAGCCGGTCTCGGGGGGGCAAGGGGCCGAGGCATCCTGGGGAGCCGATCTGGGCATGGGATGTCGCGGGACGGGTGCTCGGTAGGCGGGGGGGACCTGGGCTGATGAAGAGCAATTGGCGCCCCGCTTACGCGAGTGGCGCTCTTTGGCGGCGCGCACAAGGAGGTAGGGGGAGGAGGGAAGGCTTCTGAGAAGGAGACTCCTTCTTAGAAGGCGCGGGCCTTGCATCTACAGAGAAGGCCCGCGCCTTCTAAGAAGCAAGGGTGTTTCTAAGAAACTTTTCACTTTCCCCCTACCCCCCTCTGCGCATAGCCGAACTATCCTGCAACCGTCTTGCGCCCTGCCGCAGTCCCGCTGGGTAGTTGCAGTGAAAATCAAGAGTGAGGATGCAAGGCTCTTGGAAGTTCCATTTATCATCTCGAGTATCGAACTCCCTCGTCAACATTGGCTCAGGATGGGCCGAAGAAGCAGGGATGCAAGGGTAGCCTAGATGAAACAATGCAGGCTTACAACTGATGTTGATTGTATAATCCGAAAGCCCTTATAACGGCGACGAGGCGACGATCGAAAGCAGTGCCCCGGCACTGCTTTGAACGCGTTCAAAGCAGTGCCCCGGCACTGCTTTGAACGTATGATATGATGATATGATGATGATTATGATTGATGATGATGATGATTTTTCCAGCGTACACTGTCCGCAACTGCGGCAATCAACATCATGCTCCACTTGCCCGCAACTGCGGCCATCACCAACGCTGCGCCTCGAAGCTCCACGGAGGGCGCTCGGCAGGTCGCCCGCTCGAGCCCCACTCGACTTCACGCTGAGGAGGCGAGCCCTCAGGGGCATTGTCCGCAACTGCGGCATGATCAGAGGGCCACCACTGCGCGCCATCAGCGCCCCATTCGCTCGAGCTCCAGTCCCACCAGGACCAGCCCTGCCATCTCGTGGCGGGACTGCGCGCCTCCCATGCGCCGCTGCCGCTGGCGTCCCAGGACCCAGCCGCCACTGCGGCACAAGAAGGGGTCGCATCGTCGCCGTTGGCAGCTTGCGGCGGTGGCGTGTTCCCAGCTCGCTCAGCCCCAGCGTCTCTCCCCGCAACTGCGGTTCCCATCTGGGGTCGGACGCCCTTCCCCGCAACTGCGGTGTCCGCGTAGCTGCCCTTCTTGCCGCCCTTCTTGCCGCCCTTCCTGCCGCCCTTCCTGCGTTCCAACCTCGCGGCGAGTCTTTCAGGTGACCTGCGGCACGTATTGTGCGTGAAAGCCACCAGAGGGAAGTGCGCTCCGTGCCTCGCCCTGCCGAAGGCGCCATGCCATATCTTGTCGTCGAGGTTGCCCTGCTTCACTCTGAAGGGATAGCGCACCCAATCGTCGCGTTCCCTGCGCGCCATCCTTTGCTCGAACTCCGCATCTGCGGTCAAGGATTCGCCAGATGGCGTCAGGAAGGCGCGCATCTTGTTTTCAACGGGCTCAGCCTTGGGCACGTAAGTCTGAAGCATCTTCCCAGGGCCATTCGTGTAGTCGAAGACAGGGAAAGACGGATCATGCTGGGTCGTCAAGAATCCGCCCTCACGGTCGTGCAGAACACTCAGGCCATGGTGAAGCTTGTACTGCCCAGGACAGTTTATGAACAAAATCGCCATGCTGTCTGCCCTGGGCTGGCCGCCTGCTGTCTTCCAGGGGGTCCACGCGGCGACGTCCACAGTCAGGCCGCAATTGCGGCACCAGGACACAAGCTGGAACATGCACATGTTGAAGTCCCCCATGCAGACCTTCACGTCCCATTCCCTGACGTAGGCGACGAACCAGTTGTAGAACTCATGGAGCTTCGTGACGCCCCAGTCTTGGTTGGCCAAGCTGTGGTGGACGTGCACCGCCATGACGTTGAAGGAGCCCCCCAAATGGGGCACGGCCTGGTCCAGGTGGACGCGCACCACCATCGCCCTGGAGTACTTGTTGTGCAGCTTTGGCGCAGGAGCCTCCGCAACTGCGGACTGTTTCTTCTTCTTCTTCGTTTTGGACTTCTCCTGCTTGTGGAAGAGTCTCGCAAAGTCTACGTGTTCAATGTGGCCGCCACTGCGGTCCCTCATGCCAACAAGGAGGGTCCCTGATGGCTCGCCGCCCTTAACGCACAGGTAGTTGTATTGAGTCCGACTCCGAAACCTATCGTCCGCAACTGCGGCTGCACTGTCCCTCGCGTCGTGCTCCCCACTGAGTACCGCGCAGGTCTCGTCGTCGCACTCGCAGAGGGCGATGATCTGGGCAGGGTTCGCGCGGAGCTGCGCCCACTCGTCCGCGCGTTGCGTGGGTCTAGCTGCAGTCCCTCCGAAGTTGGCCACGTAGAAGCCGACCCGTCCCGCTTCGAACTCCGTTTTCTCCTCCCATGCGTCGACAAGAGCTCTTTGTTTTTCCGACAGATTGCTTGTCTCGATGATGGGCACCCGTTTCCAGGTTCTCCGCGACGACAACACTCTCGGCATGTAGGAGTCATGTGCTGCCGCAACTGCGGCTCCCGCACCTCCCCGGGACTCAGCCTCGTCAGCGGAGGCAGCCGAGGACGCGACGGTGCTGTCGCCATCTTGCGTCCGCTGGTCGTCGTCATCATCCGCAACTGCGGCTTCCTCGTCTTTGCCTCCCTCCTCCTCCTCAGCGTTGTGGATGAACACCGTTCTGGCGAATCGAAGTCCACGGTCCATACTCCCTGAGGATGCGCTCGGGCGCGCGGGCGGCCACATGCTTGCGTCTTCGCGTGCGCCACCTCGAGCCACGGTGGCTACGGAAATGGATCGTGAATGGGCATGGGGTCGGATGGAGGGAGGAGACAAAGAGGATTCGAGGAGTGGCAGAAGGAGGGCGAGGACTCAAAGGAACCGAAAGAACAACAAATGGACTGGCGGAGAAGCAGAAGGAGGGCGACGATTGCAAGGGACTGTGAAAGGATTATTTTCACAGCAGCAGGAAGACCGCAACTGCGGTTTTGCCTCATCTCCTGCCCGCGCGGGAGCCGCTTGGAAAAACAACTTCCCTCTGGACTTCCTGTGGGTCCGCAACTGCGGCCTGCATCACGCTAGGGCTGGGATTACCAGCGCCATTTGCCCTCCCAGGGTTCTCACTGTTTCCGAATGCACGAACTGCGACAGCGCCGAACGGTTCCCAGACGCCGCGTCGTTCGCGACTTTTTGCAGCCACCCAGCAAACGTGAGCGGCCATTGCTCCTTGTGCTGCTTGCACATCTCCTCGTCCCAATGCGTCTTGAACCATGCCCACTCCCCCCTCTGCTCGTCTGAGAGGACGCCTTTTCCGCGAGCCAGGCGATCCAGAGCTGCCATCCTGTTTTTCTTGATCTTGAACTCCTCGGGATTCCACTGCGCTAGGGCGTGTTTGTTAGCCAAAGCCGTTTCCACCGCAACTGCGGCCTCCTTCTTTGCCCTCAAGGCGGCCTCGGCCTCTCG